TAGGATACTGTTAACTCCAGAAGTGATTAATATCTTGGATCCTTGGGTTCCCTACCCTTATTCTTCCTAGAAATGGGAGTTAAGAACTTGAATCAAGAAAGCAGGAAGTTCAGCATAGGTCATGCAGCCCTTCTATGATGACCATGGACACGAGACAGTCATTCCTTCTGGTCTCCAGAGGAGGCTTGTTTGTACTTCCATAAGATCAAGGAAACTCACCCTGGTTCTTGGCTTAATCTTTATAAGCACCCAGAACTGGTTCAAGATGCTGAAGGTGTGTTGACATTAGTAAAACAGAGATAATACCATCCATCTGCCTCACAGGTTTCTGGAGGAGATTAAATGAGGCTTTCGGGACAGCAAGTTCTAACCATGTATCAGTTGTTCAGTTATAACAAATTTCTCTTGAAATCTTAGAAAACATGACAGTGCTTGTGGCTGCACCCTGCCCTCAATACCTGAGGCAGGTGAGCGAGCTGGCCCTGAGGTCAGAAGGAAGGTAGAGCTTCCCCTGCCTTCCACCAGCTGCAACACTTGGGAGAGCAGGTCCTGCACCTCACCTGGGCGCCTGGGTGGCACAACAGAGCGGATCCAGTTGGCAGAGATGTGGGCGAGCTGTCCCCATTACTCACCTATCATGCGGCAGCATGGGCTAGAGAGAGATGCCGTGCCCCACCCCAATCAGTGTCTGAGGCAGGTGGGAGAACTGGCCCTGATGTTACAAGAGCGGGAGAGCTATCCCTGACCCTCATCTGCTGCAGCACTTCAGAGACCAGACCCCAGCCGGACAACACAGTGGAACTGGCCCTGCAGGTGTTAAGTGTGGGAGATCTGACCCTGAAAACGTGATAGCAGGAGAACCGGCCCCACCCCTTGTTCATTGCCACGAAGGGTGAATTTGCCAAGGCAGTGTAGGAGAGCTTACCCTGGTGGTGAGAACAAGGGAAACCTGGTGGGCTGACCAACCCTGCAACTACCCAGGCCCAGAACCAGGGTTGGCGCACCCCATCATCCACTCCATCTCTGATCTGCTGGAACACATGAAAGGGCCAGTCCTGCAGACCCAAAACTACAGGATTTCCACAACACAGGGCAGCAGCAGGATAATTAAGAGGAGTTCCAGTGAGAGCCCAGCTTTGATAGGGTAGCAGGAACCAGACCAGTGACTGTCTGCAATAAAGACTTGTGAGTAAAGATATAAGGTCAAAATTTCAAGATTCCTCCTCTCCCGTTTATGGCAGCTCTTTGGCTTCCTGTGCCACTCCAGGTGGTTGTACTCACCATCCCCTCCCTTTCACAGTATCCTTGCCTATTCTCAGCTTCCTGAGCCTCCCCAGATTTAATCACCCACATACTTCACACAGTACTGTCTGTTCTTCCTTTAGGCAGCTCAAAGTATTTTTGTGCGAATGTTTGGTAGTTCCTTCTATCAAACAGTCCCATGAGGCAAGGATCAAATTAGTCATGTTTTGTGTCAGTTGTCTGTTAACCAAATGAGCATAGGTTTATTTCTTAATGCACAGACATTATGAGATTCACCCTCTTTTCTCTTCCTCAAGAAGGCCGGGACTTTTGGTCTATACTGAAAAAAAGAGAAGAGAGTTCAGTATTCATGCACGCATTCAGGAGTTTGACATTAAGTCAGGGCATACTTTCCCAACTTAGCAATTTCCTGAGATACTTAAAAGTCCCACAGGCTCATGTTTGAGGACTTGTCCTGTAATTTAAATCCTGTCCTTGCTGAAGCCTTTGGAAACCCTCCAACCAGTTTTCAAAGGCCACTAACTTTTGCAGTGGAGCGTTGTGTATGGTGGGAGCCCCTCCGATACCATTATCACCTTCTGCAGAGTGCTGACCCGGAGCAGAAGTTCGGACAGTCCTTTGTACTGATTGGACCTTCATGGAGCCGGGCTCCTTTACAGATTTGTAGGAAGACATTTGTGGTACGAAGCACCTTCTCTGGAATCATTAAGCAACAAATTTGCTCGGAAATTTCTTTCATGGTGTCTCAGTGGAGATGAAATACGGTCACTTGCTAGACGGAAAACAACAATAAAAGGAGAGCAAAATCTCCCTAAGTGCTCCCTAAAACAAAGAAATCTGATATGCAGACTGTGAGCTGATACGATTATGAGGCTTCAGCTCCAAGCTGTAACAGATGGGCGTCCTCACTCTGTCTGTGCTGATAAGGTGAATGGTTTCCCCAAGGGACATGAGTGGAGTATCGCTGAGTTGACAGATTCCTGCCAAGCAGCTTGCCGCTGACAGGGTTCTAGGCAGAGAGTGGCATGTAGGGCTGTCAGAGATATGAGCCTCTTCCTTTGTCATTCCAGGACACTGGCAAGGAAACAACTCATTCCGAATATTGACTGGAGTATCCATGAGGTGCCAGGAGGAGGATCGGGGATGCAGCCCAGTGGTAGAGGGCTTGTCTAGCATTCACAAGGCCCTGGGTTTGATCTTCAGCAGAGAGAGGGTGGGGGGGAGGGCATATGAAGAAGGAGAATGCACTCATCCTTCTGTTTATTTATTCTGTCATCATTTGGAAGAAAAAAAAAAACATGGTGTGTGGAAGCCGCTGTTCTGACTGCCAACACAAAAACCTACACAAATGGCTTCTGCCCTCACAAGGTTCCTGTCTTTGTGATGGAGGTGGGTGCTGAAAAGATAAGCCCCATGAAGCGTTATTGTGAGCAAGAAAGACTTCAGAGTGCCAGGGGTCAAAGTAAATATTTGAAAAATTAGTAAGTGTTAAAAGCATGTAAGGCTGGTGAGAAAAAAAAATGGATGACTACAACAGAAAACATTAAGATATCCTCATCTCTCCAACAGAAAACAAGATATCCTCATCTCCCCCACTCTTCACACACGCCCTCTGCTGGATGATGACGTCACAGCCACCTGCATGCAGATCCATGTTTTACTCTGCATCTGTGCCACTGGATTCCCCTACTTCTTTTCTAGTGTTACTGATGATGCCCGAGGACTCATGTTGGACAGTTAGAACCTCATCTAAATGTCACGCAGGATCACTAAGGATAGAAAAGCAGATTTGCGTATAGAAAGCTCAGTTTGTTGTTTGGAAGGGTGAACTGGAAAACACAGCCACGAGAGAGATGGGATTGTCCAGAGGTGCTGAGGGCGTGCACCAGAGAAACAACAGTGTCAGGGAGAGCACAGTCTGCGTGTGACACGAAGGAGGATGGATGGGATAGGGTTGGGGAGATGACGGCAACTACAGAGCCTGGCTGGATATGGAGACAGGTCTGTTGTCTGGTTTGAAATGGTAGCAACAAACACACCACTGAAGAGAGTAGATTTACACAGGCTGGTGGCTGGCTTAGGATTTAATGTTGGAGCTGCACATTTGTCACCAAATGAAAGTGCCTGGGGTAGGTCATGGAAAAATCATGCTATTACATAATATAAAGATTTGGAACCCAAGAGAAAGAGGGCAGGACCTATACCATTCAAGACGAGGTAGGTTGTGAAAACAAATCTCCGTGGTTTAAAATAGTAAAGCTAATCTCTGCGCACTCTCGTCTGCTAGGTCTGCACCAGGCCTTACCCTGTGATTGTTGCATAGGGTTCTAAGCTGAGAGAGAAGCCCTCTGTTTCAGAAGTTGTTGACTATTGTGCTAGAGGGATAAAAGGAATCAGCAGAATCTTGCTTGACCACTATTTTCTCTGGAAGAGATGTGGGGCACTCCTGCAAAGATTAGTCAAAAGCTGTACTGGGGTATGGGGAGAAGAAAAAGTTAGAAGTGGTTGACTAAGAGCAGCAGTGGGTCCCAGCTGAAAAGTAAAGCGATTAGTGCATTGAGGGAAGTAGCGTTTGGCAGAGGGTTATGTTGCAAAGTGTAACTCCAATAAACTGGCTGGTTCACTAAGCTAGACTGGGGTGAACAGATACTTTGTTTTTCATGTCTCTCAAGGAAGTCACACAATATAAACCCAGGATCCAGGAGGTAGCCCTGTTCTCCAGGATGGTTTCCTTTGCATCTGAGGTAGACATAGGAGGAAAGGGGAGGTAGATGGAAGGTGAAAGCAGTTGAGGACAGTCAAGACATTGGGAGAGCAGAAGAAAAATGACTATAGAGGACGATGGAGAAGGAAGCCAGAAGCTAAAAAAATACAAGGGAGAGAACTTTCCAACTCTTAGGGTTTCTAGTGCTTGTGGTTCTTAAGTGGCACCTTTCCGCAGGGTAGACGCTGAACATTCCACTTCTCTTTGTTTGTATTTATAAACCATAAAGTCAAGCTCAGATTTCTGTTAGAAAAGTACTTTTAGAAAGCAGTGGGATCTTATCTTTCATTTTCTCTAGATCAACCTTGCAGCCTTTTGAAGTATTTACAGTTTTAATACACAACCATAAATGCCCCTAAACGAGGAATATCATACCTTTCGATTACCGTTATTACTTTATTGCTCATCACAGCCGTAAATTAGCAACGTCCTCCGGCATTGCCAAGAGAGCCCTGAATTAGGTTACAGCATGAACACACAAGAACCCATTAAAGCTTTGCTGCTTCTTAAAAGTCTTTACAGTTTCCCAGCGTGCCCCATAAGTGTTTCAATTAGGGAACTACCTTCCTGCTCGGTAATAGCTCTCCCGTTTGAGATAAGCTTGCATATCGAGAAAGAAAAGCAAGATTAAAGGAAAAAAATTGGAATACGAAACATTAAAAATGAAATTGCTATGAAAGGGGAAGAGGGGATTTAAGTGATGCATATTAAAGTCATTTAAATTGCATAACTCTATTGGATGCAGGCTGAGGCAAGCACACATGTATCTCTCTCAGGAGGTAGCTAAGCTGCTTGGGTTGGCATCATATGGTGTACTCCAAAAAATAGTCTAGTACCATCTTTAATGCGATTAATGAAGTTCTTGGTCACATGTCCAGTTATTAGTTTTAATTTTGCATATTTATGAGGTTCAGTCTAGGTATTTGAAGTAGATATAAAATATATGAAAAATAATTCCTACTCCTTTGAACCTAATTCTTTTTTAACGTCTATCTTTTTATTGTCAGGGGCGGTGTGCCACAGTCCATGCATGGAGGTAAGAGGTCAATTTCCTTGAGTCAGTTCTCTCCTCAAACCATGTGAATCCTGGGAATAGAACTCAGGCCGTTGTTCTTGGGGGCAAGCACCTTCTGAAATACTTTATCATCACACTTCTTTTAATTTTTAAAATCCCATTTTACTAATGCATTGTTGTGCATCTGCATTAGATGCCAGATATTATTTTAAGACAAGCATAACTGTAGAGTGACCAAATCAGGATGACTGATATTTCTTTTCCCTCATCATTTTTTGATATATGAAGCCCTGAAACTCTGCGCTCTTTATTTCAAAAACATGTTATAAGTAATATGCCATAAACACTGTATTTATTACTTCTATCTGGCCATGCTTGTGTACCTACTATCTGACTTCCTCCTGTTTCCACTTTTCATACTCCTTCCTCATCTCTGTAATCATTTCTAAGTTCAGTCCACTTTTTAAGCAACCTGTAATGAGAGAGACAGTGCAGTAGTTTGTATCCTGTATCCAACTCATTTCACTCTACAGAATGCCCCTGTAAATAACAGGGGGCTGTACTTTTGTGGATGAATAATATCCCACAATGTGTTTATGGTTTCCTCGTTGGTTCATCTGTAGGTGTCAGGTTGGTTCCATATCTTAGATGTTTTACTGATCAATGCAGGATGCACATGCCTCTGTGATGCAGGTGTCTTTCTCTCCACGTCGATACCCAGCAGCAGGACAGTGGATTGTGCTGTAGATCTAGTCTCAGTGCTTTGCAGAATACCCACCCTCCCAAGCCTCCATACTAATTGTTCTAACTCCCATGGATGTTCCCTCTGCCGACATGTTTATGTTTCTGTTGACAAATCTTCTGAGGTGACTGATATCTTGGGCTGGAGATCTCTGTTGGTGATAATGCTCAGCATTGTTCCATGAAAGTTTGTTCCATTTGAATTTCTTCTTGTAAGAAGCCTCTATTTAGATGATAGATGATAGATAGATAGATAGATAGATAGATAGATAGATAGACAGACAGATAGATCAAAAATATATAATTTCTAATGGTTTTCTTTTTTGAGGCAGAGATCTTCCTGCCTTGGCTTCTGGAGTGCTAAAATTTAGAAACTGTAGGCTTGAGCTCCTTCTGTGTTTTAATGTTAACTCCTGGTCAGATGAATGGTTTGCAACGTCTCTCCCTTCTGCAAATTTTCCATTTTCTTCACTTTGTCCATTATTTCCTATTCTGTGCAGAAGCTTCTTGGTCCACTATATAATCCAATTTGTCTTTTTCTTTAGATGTCTCCTGGCCCACTCTCTTTTGTCCTTGAAGGTTTATTTTATTTTTATTTATGTTTAGTGTGTGTGTCTGTGTGGGTGCATGTCACGTGTGTACAGATGCCCAGAGAGGTCAGAGGAGGATGACAGGCCCCTAGAACTGGAGTTAGGTGATTGTGAATATCAAAGTGTGAGTGCTGGAAACTAAATTGGATCTCTGTAAAAACAAGTGTCTTTGACTACTGAGCCATCTCTCCAGTTCACACCCTAGTCCTTTTGGTTTCTTATTCCCAGAATTACTGCTTATGTCCATATCTTAAAGTATTTTGCATAAATTTTTAAATTGTCTGTTTCAGACCTAACTGTTGGAGTCACAGTTAGGTATTTGTTCTAGTTTGACTGGAGCCCATAGTATTATTTCTGACTCTGTGCTGTGTGCCTTTGGTCTATATGATTGTTTTTAAGCCATGATATCTTGATTTGTATATTTAAAAAAATATATAACCAACAAGAAAGTGAAGATAATAATGATGATGGTGAAAAAGCATTGGGTGCAAATAGCACATGAACTTTAAGATTGGAAAACAGGCATGCTGTAGTAGAACAAACTTATATGACACCAGCAGAGCTATATCTCTGTGTAGCACTACTGGTAGTCTCTGTGGATAGCTGTCCATTTCAGTTCTAGAATTTCTACAGCAACACTGATTGAATAAATTGATACTGCGTCTCCACTGATCAGAATGATCAGCATGTTTGAGATTTCAGTTCCCCTCCCCCCCAGGTACATTCCTAAGGTCAATGCAGTCTTAATCAAAATTGGTAACATGCATTTTTCCTCTAGAAATTAAAACAATAAGAGTGTCTAAATTATATGGAAATGTATTAAATCCAAATTAGCAGAGTAATTTTCAAAAGGACCAAAATAGCTTTTAAAATAATTTAGAAAAACTTAATTTTAATGTTAACGAAAGTGAGAACAATTGGTTTTGGCTTGGCACAAACATTCATCGATAGAATAAGCAACCAACTAAATAGACATATGCACATTTGGTCAACTAGTTTTCAACAAAGCTGCCAAATCAATGGAAAAAAGATTATCTCCTCCATACATGGTGCTCCAGTGACTGAACAGCCAGACACAAATGAACTTAAGCAGTGTCTACTGTGCTATGCAGGAAGGGATCTAAAATAGCTGACTAACTGAGTTTGAAAACTCAAAATATCTATCTCTTAGAAGACATAACAAGAAAACCTTCAAAGCTTCATGATCCTATGTTCAGCACATGTTTATATATAAAACTAAAACATAAGGTTTAAAGAAAAATTTAGTGAATTGGAATTCATCGTAAGTTTGAATATTCTTGAAATTATTTTTACTAAAATTAAAATGCAAATGTCAATTTTGGAAAACTATTTCTCATACATGTTACTGAAACAAGAGCCACATCTAGGACTGTCTTAGTTAGGGTTTTTATTGCTGTGAAGAGACACATGACCACAGCAACTCTTATAAAGGAAAACATTTAACTGAGGTGGTGGCTTAAAGTTTCAGAGTCTCAGTCCTTTATCATCAAGGTGAGGAGCATAGCAGCATGCAGGCAGATGTGGTGCATGGGGAGTAGCTGAGAACCCACACAAGCAATAGGAAGTCAACTGAGGCTTTGGGCAGTGTCTTGAGCATAGAAAACCTCAAAGCCTGCCTCCACAGTGACACACTTCCTCCAACAAGGCCATACCCACTCCAACAAAGCCACACCTCCTCATAGTGCCATTCCCTATGAAATTATGGAGGTCAATTACATTCAAACTACCACCAAGACATAACAAGAACTCTTAACAAGTCAGGGATTAGGAGACATCAAGCAACTGAAGATCCCTCTGAAAGTCTGAACTGATCTTCCGATGTAGGTCAGTGAATGGCAGAGACACTCAGTACAACCTCTCCTTGGGGAGAGTTAGTTTGAGCATAACATGTCTGTACACTATGTTTATAATACCTAGATGGAAAAGGTGAATCACACCACTTTTTTCTGTGTACTGGGAGGAAGTAGAACATTCCTTACATGGAATGGCACATTGAACAATTCTAACACCTGAAATACAGTTCTATTGTCTCGCCAGTGGTTAAACATTTCATACAAGGCTGTAAATATATGACTGCTTAGGAAAATAATTCACTAAAAGTTACAAATATCATAAAGTTCAACAGTTCTGCTCTTTGATATGTACCCAAGGTGATTAAAATAAACAGCAAACAAAACCTTGCCAGTGACGCTATCCATAAGAGCCTAAACTGGGAACAATCTAACATGTCTCATTTGCATACACACACAATGGAATATGACTGGGCAAGAAGGACAAATAGGCGCAAAAGTATCAAAAAGATAACAACCATGGTGCTATCTGAAAGACTGAGCTAAACTATATATGTTACATGATTCCTTTCATATAAAGCTCTAGAAAAACAGAGAATGTCAAGATATTCAAAAGCTCATATGCTTGATAGATTAAAAACTGTTAAGTTCTTTGTAAGTTTTATAGAGAATAACCACAAAATTATCAATATCAGTGTCTTAGTTAGAGTTTCTACTGCTATGAAGAGACATCATGACCACAGCATACCTTATAATAAGACCACAACTCTTATAAAGGCAAAACATTTAATGGGAGTTTTAATGAGACATGTTTTTGGAGACACTGGTCTGGAGAAGTAGTTGAATATTCTACATCTTGACTTGCAGGCAACAGGATGTGAGCTGAGACATTGGACATGGCTTGAGCATATATGTGACCTCAAAGCCCACTCCCACAGTGACACACTTTCTCCAACAAGACCATACCTACTCCCACAAAGCCACACCTCCTAATAAATCAAAAATAAATAAATAAAACTTTAATTGTTGGCTAAACAGGGTTTATCAGCTAACATAACAAGAAACTCAATCAATGTAACTAACCATATTAACAAATGTGACAAGAAAATATGTCTCTGAGTAGATTCAGAACAAAAACTTTTGATCCAGTTCAATATCCATTTGTGATAACAACTTAAAACAAACTGAGAATAGAAAGAAACTTTTTTCAATCCATTTAAACACATCTGGGAGATACATGAGTCTAATGTCATTCTTAATGATAAAGCATTAAATCTCTTTCTACAATCACAGAACACAGGAGAATATATCATTTTCAATAGCCCAAGAAAATCACGAACTAGGAAAAAAACAAACAATCTTCACAGAAATATATAAATAAATATTCACTGTAGACTTGAAGCAGTGGTGAGAAATTTAAAAACAAATAAATTGAGAGATACACCATATTTGAGAGACTCAATTTTGTGGTCTATTCTCCCCATGTTTATCTGTAGATTTAACACAAGCTGGATAAAAAACAGCAGGTTATTTTGAGGAAATTGACAAACTGTTTCCATAATTTATATGGAAAGTTAAAGTTACTTGAAAAAAGTTCAAAACAATCACAAACAATAAGACCAAAGGTGTGGGACTCAACTACCTGAGTTCCAGTAAACATAGTGAGTGGGGGTTGAGGGTAGGGACAGAAAGGCCGACACTATGGATAGGGCAATCTCAGACGGTCCACGATAAAACCACACAGATAGTCAGTCGGTTTGAAATCACCCCATGATTTCAGTGGAGGAAGCAAAGACATAAACTAGGAAGTCATAGTTAAGTTTATTGTTTCTTTCTTTTTTTGCTTTTTTGAGACAGGGTTTCTCCATAGCTTTTGGTTCCTGTTGCTCTTGTAGACCAGGCTGACCTCGAACTCCTGCCTCTGCCTTCCTAGTGCTGGGATTAAAGGCGTGTGCCACCACCGCCCAGTCAAGTTTATTGTTTCTTTGTTGTCATTTACAGACCACAGTTAATGCTTCTTAACTGTCTCACAGTAACAATGTGTCTGTTACATACTTCCGCTTTCAATCCCACAGCCCATACTCCTACAGCAACACATTTAAAACCTACAGAAGCTTCCTGTGCAGGTATGCAGGCACAGCATAGATAAGGAACAAAAAAAATGATTCTTCTCTCTTTATAAAGGAGAAAAGGCAGCAAGAAGAAAACACAGCCTACCTGGCACCACAAGGTGCTATTATGGTGAGCGGATATATGGTGAGATATGGGAGAGAGACAGAATGGTTCACATGCTATGAAGAGAGAGAGAGAGAGCTGAAAACGTAAAAGTGGTGAGGGGTGGGCTGCTTGCTACCAGGTGCCCTGGTGATGCCCCAGACTCCGATGCTGCCAATGCTCTTATCTGGGTCCATGGCCCTGCTACACAGTCTATGTTGATGTCCCTGGATCCTGACTGCACCAAAGGCTAAGAGGATAGGGCTGCACAGAATTGTCCTGCCCCCTCATTGGATACAACACTAGGGAGAATGGTCCTGCCCCTCACTAGCTGCAGCGCTCAGGAGCATGGGTCCTATACCTCACTGGGCCAGCACAATAGAGCTGACCCTGCTGGCAGGAATAAAGGCAAGCTGGCCATTAAGGTGGGAGTGTGGGCGGGCTGATCTAATCCTCATCTGCTATGTGATGGTGCAAAAGAGGGAAAGATGCCCTCCCTCTCTCACACCTTTCCATCGAGTCGAGCAGGAGTGCTGACCTAGCCCCTCACCAGATGCAGCACTTGGGACAGCTTGCCCTGCGCCTCACCTGGGCAGTTCAGTGGAACTGGCCACCTATCTGCACAGGGGCGTGGGTAAGGCAGCCTCGAGAATGTGAGGTGAGAGAGATCTTGTCTCACCCCACATCTGTTCTAAGATGGCATGGACGAGGCAGTGTTCTTTCTAACAAGTGTGAGTTAATGAGGAGTTAGGAATGGGTGGTGCACCACATTCTGGGGGTCATGGGAATCAGCTAACCTATGGTAGAGTTAGAATGTGAGAAGGAGCCTTTGGCAAGAGAAATATGCCTCCTTTTTCTAATACATGGCTATAAGAGTATGTTAAATTACTGACGTTCATCAGGGCGTGGTGGCTCCTAACCCCAAGGAGGCTGAGGCAAAAGAATCAGTGTGAGTTTGAGTTCAGGTTGAACCCCAGAGAAACACAAGGATAAAGAAATTTGACATGATGTTTATTTATTTTAAGGTTTATAATTCAGTTCTTTGACATTGTAGGTGACATCTGCTGAGCACAATGAAACCCAGGCCATTGAGTGTTCTCCTTCTGGCAGTCCCACGTCCCAGCTTCCCGGCTTAACAAACGACCCAACGCAGAGGAACTTGAAGCAATGCCATAACTTATTTTGCTCAAGGGAAATATTTATTATTATCATTATCAAATAAAATATCATTTACTTGAGCCAGAACTGGGCAGGAGTAGCTCATGTCTGCCTCACTGAGTATCATCTGGGGGTGCATCAAAGGTGGGTTCGGGGTTCTGCCCAGCTCACTACTGTTGCTGTGGAGAGCAGCCCTTACACAGGGTCACTCCAGAGTCTGGGCTTGCTTAGCACACAATACCCGCACTCCTGGAGCAGCTGGGAAAGAGGAAAGCAGGCAGAAGCTGTGCCATCTTTCCCAACACAGCCAAGGAGTCACACGTCTTTGTCTCCTGCGGGCTGTGGCAGTTTCTTTGCCTTTGCTAGTCTTCCAGCACCCAGGCATGTACTTTATTTTTATAACAAAGCTTTATTGAGATACCGCAAATGTGCCTCCTTGAATGTGTGATTAAATGTTGTTAATATGTTCAAACTGTTAGGCAATGTTTTCACAATCCATTTTAAGAAATTTTCATCAATACAGACTGGAAGCTCAAATTCTTTGCATTCATTATCCATTTTCTTCCTTAAAATCTACCAGTCCTCAAGTACTTCTTTTTGTCTCTGCACTTTCATCTTTTTATAAAACATCCAGAGATGTTTCTAAAACATCTATAAAAACATTTATAAAATAAAATTATATAACATATCCTCTGTGGGTGTATTGTGTGAGGTATCTTTCACTTGGTCTATTTATTTCATAGTTTATCTAGATTATAAATATACCTAAACTTCATCTTTTTTAATGTCAAAACTATTTCCTTGCAGTGTATTGGGAGTTGAATATTAGATGTCTTCTATAGTCTCATTTGTTGAATGAAGGCTAGTGTAGTCAGACTCGTTCTATCCTGCCAGCCAGCCCCCACATAACCACAGGGAGACTTCTTATTAATTATAAAAGCTCACCTATAGCTTAGGCTTGCTACTAACTAGCCCTTATGACTTAAATTAACCCATTTCTTTTCATCTACATCCATTTATATGTGGCTAGTTACCTTTACTCTGAGCTCTCCACACTGCTTCCTTTCCATCTGGCTGGCAACTTGCCATATTTCTGCTCTTCTTCCCAGCATCCTGTGTGCCTGAAAATCCGGCCTAGCTATTGGCTACTTAGCTTTTTATTAAACCAATCAGAATGATACATCTTCACAGTATACAAAAAGATTATTCTACAACAGGTTTGGTTCCAGCTGGTAGTTCTAGTTGGGGGGTGCTGTGGAACCTTTGGGAGGAATCCCTACCTGGAGGAAGGAAGTGACTGGGGAATGCCTTTAAAGAGTGTAACTATTCCCAGGTCAATTCCTCTCTTCTTCTTCTTGTTTACATGAGAAGGGATAATCATCCCCAAAATATGTTCTAGATAATATTCTCCTCCCTGATGATTAGACTCCACTCAGGTGCGTATCTATAATGCAAGCTCACCAACACCTGAAACCTTGAGCCAAAATAATTCTTCCTCAAGCTTTTCTACTTCACTATTTATCGCAGAGATGAGAAGTCTGATGTAGACGCCAAATGTTTAAATTACATATTATTTACCACTCACCAGTCTATGGACATCTGGATAATTTTAACTTTTTGGTCATTATCAATATGTCATTATAAGTATTTGTGAGCAAATATTTTAAGTCAAGGTGTGTTTTTATTTATGTTCCTTATTAGCATCTTTTGTTGCTATAATAAGATACTATGATCAAAGTAACTAATGGAAGGAAGAATGCATTTGGAACTGCTTCAGAGAGAGTGCAATGGCAGGGAAGCATAGAAGCAGGCAGTCTGAGGAGGATGGTGAGCAAGTGTATGTTCAACTGCATGTAAAGTGTGCACGCACGAGCACACACACACACACACACACACACACACACACACACGGCTGAGTAGGAAATGGGTTAAGGCAAGGCTATATAAATTCTCAAAGCCTGCCCTCAGTTAGGTATTTCTTCTAGCAAGTTCCCACCTCCTAAAGGTTCTGCAACTTCTGCAGACAGCACCATCCACCATGTTCCAAGAGTTCGTCATTCACATTATCACATAAACCCTAGAGTAGGGATATGCATGAATATATGCACACATGTAAATTGACACTAGAGGTCAATGCCAAGTATGTTCTACCATTCTCCATCTTGTTTTCGGAGATAGTGTCCCTCACTGAACCCGGAGATCATTAGTTCACCTAGCCTGGCCAATGAGCTCTGGGGTTATCCTGGCTCTGAGTTCCTACCCTATACCTGTCTAGCAGTCTAGCTAGGGATCTAACTCTGGTCCTCATGCTTGTGTGGCTGAATATACCCACTGAGCTATCTCCCCAGCCCAAGAGATAATTTTCTGCTTCCTCTACCTTGGATAGTTATCACTTTCCTCTTGCTTTTTACTATAGATAGTTGGCGTTGAAAGAACACTGGCCTTTAACACTCTGGAAATCTCCTGATTTCCACCGCTCAGTTGATTAGGTAAATTTCTATTTCCTGTGTCAGTGCAGATGGCAGTTCTGCTGAATTTCCTGTCACTTTGTCTCAAGGTCTCCTAGGGCTAGTTAGCCCCAACTCAATGTTTTTCAGGTTTCCCACTTGTGGTCCATTTTGATCCCATGTAAACTACCATGAAAGATATTTTCATCCATGTAGATTTTTGCAGTGTAAGCTTTCTTCTTTAGATACCCAAATTCTTTTTAGTTACTATGGCTACATAACTAACCACTCTGAATATTGTAGACCAGTACACTCCTTGTACTACTCCTGAATCTCCTAATTACAGAAGGCTCAGCGGAGACAACCCATCATCACACCATAGCAAACACAGGTGCTTTGAGAAAGCTGGAGCCACTGAGGTCACATATGTTTGGGCTGATGTTGACCCTCTGATGAAGGCTTCACAGACTTCTCAACTGGAACACATGGAATCACCTCTGCATATGGCCTGGTCATCCCATAATGGGGCTACTAGGCTCCAAGAAAGACAGCATGAGAAGTTAAAAACTAGACTTGGAGAGAGTATGTGGCTGTTCTAGAATATCTTCAGAGATCGTCAGGTACAGCCCTACTACATATTCGCTATGTGACATGGGTACAAGCCTGACCACTGTAAGTGGAAAGGAACCTTGTTGACTCCCTGATGGAGGCTGGCAGTCTCTGGAAAATCAGAACGCATGGGCATATTGCATTATGTGTTCATTATAACTTGCCACAGGAGTTAGGAGGCATTCCTTATAGAAATGATGCGTTGCTGGTGTCCTTCAAAAATAGAGAGCATTTCCTTTGATAAGTAACATAAATGTATTTTCCTTACAAATATTTCAAATAAAATATAAACCACATGCTATACACATTTCAGTGTTCTATTTAGATTAGTCTGAAATCATCTGCCTGGATTTTTATAGGACCTGTGCCTGGTTTCTGTTTCTATATCATTTTTCTCAGCCTCCTTTAAAGAAGGAAGAAAGTGGGCAGGGGCAAATTTTTGAAGCTATCAGAGACACTGGAGGTTTGTCATGTTAAATGAGATTGCTCAGGCACTGCAATTCTTTTTCTACAGAAGCGGGCCTTTTAGCACCTGTTCTTGCTTGCATAGCAGGTTGTATAAGTCAGGCGTTTTGTTACTGTGACAAAATACATGACAAAAACAACTTAATAGGAAGAAGGATTTATTTAAGCTCACTGTTTCGGGGTGTCAGTTCACTCAAGCAAAACATCATAGTGACAAGATCAGGTGGTCGAGCAGGTACTTCCTGAACTCAGGGCAGGTAGGAAGCAAACAGCAACAGAGATGGGCCCAGGCAAGACATGTTCCCAGTAATGACCTTCTTCCATCAAAACCTGGTTTCCCTAAAGTTTCATCTACCTCCCCAAAAGCACCATCAAGGGGAGACCAAGCTTCTGACCCTTTGGGTATTTTATATTCAAACCACAACAGCTTTAAATTTACCTATGGCTCTATGGCAATGATCAGAGGCTCTGTGTCTGCCTGCCTCTGCTTTGATTAGTCCATACTATCAGGACTGGTGGCAGAGACAACATTCTGTTTCCTTAACCAAATCACAGTAGGAAGGAAGTCAGAACACAGTTGCTGGTCATAATTAATCAAGGTGCACTGACCGTGCTCCAGCAAAACCTGTGTTTGATGGCTACATGCAGAGCAGAGAGTAGAAATCAATCTGGTTAATATTATTATGGATTCTGACAAGAGGAGAGGGGGTAGACGTATCCAACTTTGAAATGCTATGCAAACTTGGATATTAGGAAGACAGAACCAGACAGAGCCAACTGGTGATTTTCCTTCTCTGATGCTCCCTAAAAGAGCCAACGGTTCAGCCTGTGGATCAGATCAACAAGGCTGCATGTTGTTTTCATAATGGTAGCATTATTGCTGATGTTGTTATCAGCATTCCTGTAGCCATCCGTGAACGTGAGTGCTGTGACACTGTGAATGTACATCACAGGGGCTAAACCCGAGACAGAGGAGAGAGCAACAGATGGAAGCCACATTCAGGGAAAGGTAAACTGACCTCCAAATGAGAGCATCAGAGGTAGCTTCCAAAGGCTGCTTGTCCCAAGAAAGTGTCTTCCTTCTTGGATCAGCACAATGGCATGGATGATTAAGTGGTGTATTAGTTATTTATGCATTGATGGGACTACAGTATCAGCAGATTATCTGCACCAGTAACAGAGCTGACATGTGAGAAAGAAAAGACTCATTTTGACTCATAGTTTCAGAATGTTCTTTTCACCCAGGTGTGCAAAGTACAGGGTGAGGAGGGTGTGGCAGGGGCTGTTCACATCATGGAAGACGAGGAAGCAGATAGCAAGACAGGAAGTAGGCTGAGATAGCGTACTACATTGTCAATGGATTAGGTTGGTATGATAAATAACCAGACCAGCTCAAGAATACCAGTTATATTTTAATAGTTGAAAAGGGGAAACTCATGCTACAAGAGTGGAAGGTCCGAAATCCAATGGGTCAGGCAGGTTCCATGCAGAGAGAGCATGCACCTGGATCTCCCGGTTTTTCTACCTGGGCTCCAGGTAGCCACGCCCTAACTAGATGTGATTGGTTGATAGTTTCCCCCCATCATCTCCCCCTTTTGTCTAAACAAGATCGATCCAAACCCAATACAACTATATACAATAGGAACAGATAGCAAATATAAAATTATAAACAATAAACAATATTAAGCAAGGAACACATAACAAAAATTTTTCTTAACATTCTATTTCAAGGAGTCTAAATAATGTATTGAAATTAAGCTTGGCTAAATCATAGGGAAGGTAACTACAATTATCTAATCTTCAACTCCATCAAAGATCTGGGAAGAGAAGCAATATTACTTGAATAAACAGGAAGTGCAATTGAGAAACTTCCAAACTGTACAACAAATGACAGAGACAAGTGACTACCTGGGCTCCAGGTAACCACACCCTAACTAGATGTGATTGGTTGATAGTTTCCCCAATCACTACATTAGAGATTTACTTCTACGTCC